TTGGCGGCCCTGCTTCCTGTCCAGCTCACTGCTTATGATCTAGGGAAGCAGTCAAGGACGGCCCAAAGCGTTTGGACCCTGAACCCACATAGGAGACCCGAAAGAAGCTTCTGGTTCCTGGCTTCAAAATAACTTGGCTCCGGCTTTTGAGGCCACTTGGGGAGTGAAGCAGAGGACGGAAGATCTTTCTCTGTCCCTCCTTCTCTCTATAAATCTGCCTTCCCAATAAAAATGAGTCTAAATGAAAGAGAAATGAATCTGTGGCATGGGTGTGTTCCGGTAGCAGGCGGCCTTTAACACATGTTTGTAGGCGGTGCAAGAGTTCTGGTTTGCATGTGGAGAAGGCTGCCGAAATGTTATGGCCGGGTCAGGGCTGCCAGATCAAAGAGGGACCATGTTTTGTGCCTCAGCTTGGGCAGGCTTCAAAGAATACTCTCACACCCACTCCCTGACCTCCAGCCCACCCCTGCCACATCCCTGCAGCTCCCTCTGTTGAGAAAGCATAGCGCCCTGCTCCCACTGCAGAAGTGAAAGAAGTCAGCTGTTTATCCCAGAGTACATGCTGAAGGGTGCTTTCTGAGCTGAGAATCACAACCTCCTAGCTAACACCAGCCCTCCCGATGTCTTTGGTTGAAAGAGTCCTGTCCCTCACCTGATTAGGTTAGGGTCCCCTGGGGAGTCTCATTTTCATCAAAGGAATTATTAAAACCGACTGTCATGTGTCATTTAACATCCTCATCTCAGGAGGTACTGTCCTGTCCAGGGCACTGGCCCCCAGAGTATGTACACCAAGGGGCGGCAACGTAAGAAAGATATGCACCTGCTACACAGGAGGGGGAGTCAAGAATGACTCAGCGCTTCATTCGAAACTTGTCTGCACAGTGAAGAGGTTGTAGCGCATTTGCAGCTTGTAGCTAGATGTGTCATGGAGACAGAAGGAATGCTGAGGGTTTATCCACTATCTGCCTGGCAGCTCCAGCATGAAGCACTCCACTTGCGTTGGTTCTTTCATTCTGACCCCTTGAGGTGAGGAGTGTCATCTCCTCCTCACAGTGGAGGACCTGGGGTCACACCACTAATGCTCAGTGAGCTAGCTTTGAAGTTCATCCCCCTATAAAACCAGCTCTAAAACTGCAGTCCTTGAAAGCGTCTCTGTCGCTGGCTTGGGATGAGAGGGCTTGTGAGATCATTGCCGTGGAGCTGGGGCAGGTCACCCCCTGTCAGGGCCCCGGCTGGAGAGACAGTGGATCAGAAGGAAGGTCCTGGTTGGACTTCTCCATTCCAACAGGGAAGCCCCGATCACTCCATCTGTGAGTCACCAGGAAGTACACATGTCATTGTTCCCTGATGAGCTATGTGCATGTGGAACAGAAGAACAAAGCAGGGCTTGAGCAGGGCAGAGCCTTCTCTGTGGGAGGACGTAGTCTGTGCTCACCATCGAGGGCTGTGCTCATGCTAAGCGGCCAGGAATGATGGTAGAGTGAACGCACCCGTGCCCGCACTCCCAAAGCTCACTGGCTCTACTGCCAGCCAGGGTTGGCCTCTCTGGGTCCACAGGCCCCCGGGGATGGGCTGCTGAATGACTCCTGCTTCACCAGAATCTGATATAGAACACGGCACTGGTGAGTGAGTGTGGGATAAACAAGGAATCCCGGGATTGCAGTCTGTAATGCTGGCGCACTGTCCTGGTACTCAGATGTCCTGGACTCCGCATTCTGGCCACATTGATTCACTCTGGGCTTATGAAAGTTGCTAAGACCCAGTTTTCTCTTTATAATGGAGAATGTGGACTTGACCTCTGGTCCATTCCAGACCCACAGTTCTCTAAGGACTGCTGCCTCGTGGCTGCGGGCTGGATTCAGTCAGCTCACGTGGTTGGTTGGTAGGCTGCCCTGCAGGATGGGAAGACTTGTGGAATAGTTTGGGCAAGTATGAAGGGTACATTTAGTTCCTCTTCTTGTACACATGAAGTAATGGATTCACTGGAATAGGACCTCTTCCTCCGCCCACTTCCACCAATTCAGGGTGGATTTTTTTTTTTTCTCCTTCCAGTTCTCTGCATGTTTATTAGTATTAGAGGGAAATTTTCACTCAGGAGGTAGTCAGAAGGGCAGGCACAGACCTCCGCTGGTCAGAGGGGGAAATTCCTCTGTGAAAATTTCAATTGAGCCTGCCTGGGCTGTTTCTCAAGGAATTTTCTTGAATTGAGAGGGTATTTTCTAGAATGAGATTTTTTTTTTATGCACTTGATGGGACACATTAATGATAGCTAATGTGCAAAATTAAATCCAAGAGGTTTGCAAATACTGAGCCAGCAAGCAGAGCCGTCTTTATTTCTGGATTTTCTTTACCGCAACTGGCAAAGGCTTGTCCAGGACTGGGTTGTCAGCAGATGAGTTCTAATTTCCTTCATTCCCGGCTGTTTCAAGTTAGCCAAATTGATGCCTTCTGAAATGTTCTCAGTTGAGGTATTACCAAGGGTCACTTTTTATGGGTGGCGTGGCAGGGCCGGGGGCAGGGGGTGGTGGCGCAGTGTTTAAGTTGGCCTGGTTTCTGCTCTGGGACTACTCCTACCTAATCAGTATTGGGACCAGGGACGAAGCCACACGGCCCCCTCCCTGCCTCAGTTTCCTTAAGTGAAAGCTGTCTGGAGGTTACGCTGTGCAACAGTGGTTGTCAGCGTCTCCTCCGCGGCATCCTACGAGCCACTGGGAGGTGGCACTTTTCTTTCATAGTGTACAGTCTTCATGACAAAGGGAGGCAGGGACTGGTTTCAGTTTTTATTTCCCATTTCTGAGTATGAGCCAGTTATCTCAGTCTCTTAAAAATTTTTTTTAAAAAAGTACAGCCACTGTTTCTGCAGGCAGCCAGTGTTGCCTGCTGGGATTGGGGAAATCCTGGGTTTGGGTGGAATTTTCCATGACTCTTCAGCCCTGCACCCTGAGCGCTGACCACAGCCTCAGACCTGCTCAGTGCGCCTGCTTGGGCCGGCTCCTCCTCTTCCCGGGTGATACCAGCCCATGTAACATTTCAGTGACGAGTCTTCAAATCGTGTTTATAGTGAATATGCATCGCTCTCTCCAGAGAGTCATCTGAAGCTGCTTTTTTTGTTTATCAAGTCAGGCAGCTTGAGAGCTCTGTCTCAGCCTGATTTCTTCAGGTGTCATGTTTCCTGCCACAAAAACCACCTTTTGTGGGGCAGGGAGGGTGAGTGCCTTCCTGGAAGCACCAACTTGTGCTGCTGCGTCGGTTCACATGCCAGCCGTCTCTTCTCTGCAAAGCAGAATGACAGACAGAGAGAAATGGACACTGAGATCTCCTGTCCACTGCGGGACCCTGGGCTGGCTGGGCCAAAGTCGGGAGACAGAACGGCAGCTGGGTCTCCCGCATGGGTAGCCAGGGCCCAACTGACTTGAGCCGTGCACTTGCAGCTTCCTGGAGTGCATGGGGGCAGAAAACTGAACCAAGGCAAAGCACAGATGTTCTGATACGGAATGGGGTGTCCCAAGCTGCCTCTAACTGCCGCTCTTAGAGCCCTTCCCCATTGGCAGCCTTTTGAGCTTCTGATTGGAAGAGTTCTAAAAATGGCAACAGATAGAAGGGCCGAGATCCAGGGAGAGAGAGGCTCGGTTGGATTCGGCTCATTCCCCGCTTGCTGCAGGCTGCGCGTGACACCTCATCTTTTCTGCAGGAAGCTCTTCCCTGCAGCCTGCAGCGGGGATGGGGGTGTCAGGCTGTTCTCCCAGAACACATGGCACATGGAGGCCGACCTCGTTGGTTGATCACAAATTCCATGTCCTCCCCAGCCCAGGAGAGAAGTTCTAACCACATATTTATTTCTGATAGGAGCTAAACCATGTTTGTGCTGCTTCATGCTGGTGTCCACTCAAGTGTTACTCCTTCGCAGACCATGCTGTCGAAGTAATAAGCCACACCAGCCATTTCTATTCCTTCTCTCTGCCTTATTTCCTTCATAGCTCCTATTCTCTGGCGTTCTGTTAGATAGTGGCATTTCATCTTCTGCATTGTGTGCCTGGGCTTACAATGGGTGCTCCTTAAATATCTGTTTGGTAAGCAAAAGGGAATGGTTTGAATAGCCAAACATTTTGCATCATGTGTTTTTGCTCTTCACTTAGTAACTTTCAAACTTTATTGGGTCTGTGAGTTATTATGTCAGATAGAAAAATATGTATTCAGAATTTTATGAGCAAAATCAGAAAAAAAAAATACTGTTGTGCTGTTTCTCACATCCAATCCTGAGGCAAGCCATGCCACCTTGGTCTCTCCTCCATCAGTAGTCTCCAATACAGGGAAACCAAAGGAAGCAGGGGCAGGGACGTGCCCTTCGGGTTCAGCTGCCGTGGGGCCCACCGAGTGGTGCTGGTGATTACGGGAACAGCCTTCACAATCGTCTGGTCCCCTAGCCAGGACCTGAAGTTCAGTAAACCTCTGTCAGGTGAATTTTCAAGCTGATCATCTTCTGTGACCTGTGAAGGATGTTTTTAAATGTCGAAATGATCCTTGGCAGGAAACCATGTTCTCTACTCCTGGTTTACTTGGAAGAAGATGAACTGAAATTGGACCTTGACTGTGGTACTACAAATGGGGCTGTCACATAGATTGTGGGTCTCACCATTTGCAAAAACTATAAAAATAAGTAAGACCTGAGCCTTGAAGTCAAGGGCAGATGAACATAGTTGGAGGTAAAGGTATCATGAGTGCAGATGCACTGACACCTAGGAAGGTAATAGGGTTGTGAGAGAAAAAGGCAGAGGGACCCTGAGCTGAAGCCTCACTGCGCTGGGGCCGCATCACAGAGCGAAGGCAGGGCTAGCTCCTGCAGAACGTTTGCTCAGGAGACAAGCTCTCTCTAGCAGAGTTTGTATTGAACCTTTGGTCCCAAAGGGGCAGAGTTAAGGTTCTGCTCACATAACCTTTCAGCGCTCCGGTGTGGGTCTCACCGCGTGTTGTTCTTGTTCCCTTTCTGTTCATCCTTCCAGTTGGCTGATTGCGATTCTGGCCCAGCTTAACCCTCTTTTTGGACCGCAGTTGAAGAACGAGACCATCTGGTATCTGAAGTATCACTGGCCTTGAGAAGGAGACACCGTGTGCCGAGCACCGACCCTGAGGTGACCGCCTTCCCCTGACCTTGCGCATCCCTGTCGTGTGTGTCTGTCAGCCAGAGTTGCCCTTGAGTTTGTCTCAGAATGTCATGGCCATTCTAGCAAGTAGCAGGGCTGGCACAGAAGGCCAGGGGATCTGAAGGGCACATACACATAGCTGGAATTTTAGATTCTTTTAAATGCTACTGTCACTTGGCCTTTAAAAATAACCTCAGTTACGAAGTTAAGCTTGCGTGCAGTCTTTGAGGCACTGGTCAGAAAAGTGACTGTGTGTGCATGGACCTTATGCAAGTGGAAGGCAGACTTAGAAGAACATTTTGGAATGCTTCAGATGGAAAACTGATCTTAAAGTTGTAGCTCTTATTAGGTTTGGAGGTCGGTATTTATGCGGACAGATTTATTCTCTGGCCGAGCAGGAAGTCTGTCACTGAATTTGTCCCTTCGCCTCCCTTATTTTGTTACCTGGAAGTCAGTGCTTAAGGTTAGCTAGATCCAGGACTTGCTTGCATGGCAAGAGTGCTTTTCAGCTGACACCTGAGCACTGTACGTGGCGCCTGCTTTGCTGTTTATGTGGTGCTGTGCCAGTCTGTGGGTGCAGCTGCCCATACCCTGGTCCCCTCAGTGGTAAAGTTGTCATTCAGTCTCATCCAGTGACTCTATCCATTGAGCAGCATAGCCTAAATTTAATTATTCCGATTATTTGGAGTTGTTTCCAGTCTTGTGCTGTTAGTGTTAAAGGCACAGTGCTATCCTTTGCACATGTAGTTTTGCGTTTCTGTCAATAATGAGTAGAGTCCTTGAAAATGGAATTTCTGGGTTAAAGAAATAATTTTTGCAAACTATCACATGCAAGCTATCACTTTAGCCACTAGGCTACCATACCGGGCCTGCTGCTCTACTTCTGATTGAGTTTCCTGCTAATGCAACCAGGCAGGCAGCAGATGGCCTGGGTGCCCCAGCCTCTGTCAGGAGAGAGACCCCGGTGGAGTTCCTAGCTTCAGCCTGGCTGTTTGTGGCCATTTGGATCAAAGCTTCATCTTTCTCTTTGTCTCTCTTTGTCACTCCCTCTATCATTCTGCCTTACCAAAAAAAAAAAAAAAAAAAATCTTCAAAATAAAAGCAAAGCTGAGAACTTCCAGTCTCTGTTGGCTCTGGTTCCACATTGCCTTTCACTTCTCCGAGCTTCGTTTCCTTCCTTCATCATAAGAGAGTTGGACCCTTTGACCCCAAATAACACTGGGTGGGTAGATCTGAAGAGACTCCATTTCCCTGTTCTTTTCAGTCTGATGCCTCTGTTGACCAGACAGACAAGTTCCTAACATTTACGGTCTGGTCCGCAGCACGAACTGGCTGCCCCGCACCCTGGTCTGCTTGCCCGAGACTGCCGAGTACGACCCTGACGACGTAGCTGGGCCTCTGACGGCAAGGCTGCCCTGCTGCCAGGGTTTGCTTTGCCGTAGCCTTGGGGAGTGGGAAGCTACTGTGGAATCCCATGGGTGAACTTGGCTGCCGAGCCAGCGTTCTCAAAGTCAGATGGTTAACCACATCATTGTTGTGTGGTCAGTGAGCGTGTATGGTTGACCACAATCCTCCCTAAAGGAGAAAAATTCTATTTTAGGATGAAGCCTGGAATAGGAGAGGAATGAAGAATATTGGTGATGAGGTCTCAGCCCCCATGGAGCTGTTTTTCTGTGCATTCCAAAAATATTTGGAGTGTTCACGAGGTGTATAGTACCAAGTAGGGGTGTGCAAGAACATTGTGAGGTCTGTGGGGAGTTGTGACCCGCTGGGAGGTGGAAGTTCGGCCAGCTTTGGGGAAAGTTGAACAGTACAGTGTGTTCGGAAAGCAAATGTGCATCTCTCACAGTGGCCTGCCCGGCTGGGTGTGTGGCTGCCATTCTGGACTCAGCTGCGTGTCCAGTTTAATTCTCAGTCTCCACTTTCCCCCACTCCCTGGGGTCAGGACCTCCCGAAGAACCTGTCTCCATGTCCTCGGTTCCTGTTGTCGGTGCTGTGTCACTCCAGTCTGCCCTTCTTGTCGCCTCTTCTTCAGGCCATTCTAGTTTCTGACCCAGCTCACTGTAGCTGTGACCCATGGCAGTGACTCCTCATAAGCTCTCCCTGGGTCTGCGGAACACCACGGCCCTGTTGCTTGCCGACATAGCACTGCCGGAACATCCTTGCCCGCCACCATCACTTCAGGAGTTGCACCCACGGGCCTTGATTCTAGTGGCCGCCTGTCCCTTGATATTGCCATGTAAAAGGGAAGCACCCAGCCTTTGGCAGGGTCACTCGAGTGTCCCAAGAGCCACCCATCTCCCTGGGCCGGCAGGGTCTTTGCAGCCCACCTCACAGCCTGGCTGCTGTCTGCACGCCTCTATAAGCCACCCTTCTCAGACCTGCTGTCTCGTGCTCTTGACCTAATTAGCTTTGCATGGCGTTTCACACCCTATCGCACTGGTCGGGGTTTTTTTGGTTTTGTTTTTGCTTTTTTTTTTTAATTTTTAAAAGATTTATTTTTTTGTTTTTGTTTTAATTTTCAAAAGATATTTATTATTTTTATTGGAAAGTCAGGTTTACCAAGAAAAGGAGAGACCGAGAGAAAGACCTTCCATCTACTGCTTCACTCCCCAAGTGGCCACAACAGCCGGAGCTGAGCCAATCCGAAGCCAGGAGCCCAGAGCCTCTTCCAGGTCTCCCATGCAAGTACAGGGTCCCAAGGTTTTGGGTTGTCCTTGACTGCCTTCCCAGGCCACAAGCAGGGAACTGGATGAGAAGTAGAGTAGCTGGGATATGAACCAGTGCCTGTATGGGATCCTGGTCCATGCAGGGCAAGGACTTTGGCCACTAGGCTACTGCACGGGACTCACTGGTCAGTTTTGACTGCAGATTAGTCAGCAGCACCCTGCGACCATTCCTTTCCTGTCTTGCCTCAGGTCCCCCATTCACTCTGAATGCTTCCTGAGCCTTTCTGTCTCCATGCCCAGTGGGTAAATCCCTGCACTTCTTGCCCACCTTGTTTCCAAGTGATTTCTTCCATCCTGCATGTGACCTGGGAAAGCAGCAGAGGATGGCTCATGTTCTTGCGCCTCTGTGCCCATGTGGGAGACCCAAGAGAAGCTCCTGGCTTCAGAGCAGCTCAGCTCTGGTCATCTTGGCCATTTGGGGAGTGAACCAGTGAGTGGAAGATGTTTTTCTGTTTCTCCTTCTCTGTGTGTAGAATCTTCCTTTTAAATAAAAAGAAATAATAATAATAATGTTGAAGAAATACATTTCCTTGCCTTTCCCTGAACAGATGTTTGGGTTCTGGCTTTAATGGTTTTCTATTCATTCTCAGTTTTATCTAGTTAATGTCTGATTTCTTCAGTTTACAAAGTTAGGGCTCAACCTTCCACGGAGTTGCCCAGGCCCACCCTGAGACAGAGGTGATTGCCTGGCGGATGCTCGACTGTCTGACGCTGTCTGTACCAGCAGTGTCGGGGTACACTTAAGAGACTGATGGAATTATGATTCCTTACAAAGGAATATATCATTGTAGCAAAATAGGGAAAATCTGTCAGGGAGTGGAATCCCAGTCTGTATGCAATTGTATCACATAATTGAAAAACTCAAAATAAAAATTTTTAAAAAATCAATCCTCAGGACCATGCTATTTAACATAATGCTTATTTGTTTGAAAGAGAGCCAAAGAATGAGAGATCTAATCTTCCGTCTTACTGGTTCACCTTCTGAATGCCCTCCACGGCTGGAGCTGGGCCAGGCTGAAGCCAGGAGCCTGGCACTTCACTCAGGGTTCCCACTGAGGTGGCCATCACTGCTGCCTTCCAGGGTGCACGTTAGCAGGATCCTAGAATTAGACACGTAGCCAGTACTCAGATCTCTAAGCTCTCTGACGGTGGGTGACCTAAGCAGTCATTTAACCACTGTGCCGCAACACTGGCATTACTCCATTTTTTAAAACCGGTGTCATGGAGCTTGAGTTAAAATAACTCCCTGGGTACATGGTTGCTCAAACATTAAGACCCGTCTTTGCCTTCATGGTGTTGTGTTCAAAAAGACCTGCCTGCAGAGGAAGTCTAAGCAGTATGGCGTTCCTGTAACATGGGCACACAAAGCTTGTGGATTCACAGGCTCAGTTCTCAAAGAAAATATCCCATGTGCTGCACCCCAGCTTCGTCCAGAGGGGCTCTTCTGCAGGCCTGCGGAGGGGAACCGACACCATCACAGTCACATGGAGTAAGAGGTTTTCCGAACGCCGAACGGTAGGAACAGGTTGCCCTGGGGGTGGCCACTCCTTGGCTTGGTGGTAATGTCTGGGACATGAGGAAGAGCAGTCCTGGCTGGAGCACGTGTTGTGGTGTCCTGCCTCCAGTGCACTCGGCCTGCCCAGTTTGCACCTGTACAACCGAACCTCCAGCTCTTATCCACTTCTGGTTACTCTGGGACCTTGGGCCTGGGCCTGTTCTATGTACCAAGCTGTGGAGTCTCTTGGTTGTAACCTGTTGAATTGAAAAATTAAAGGGCCAGTGTTTACAGCTGTTTGACCATCAGTCAAACAAAACCTGTCATATCTAGATTTTTAAAAACTGGTTAGGGGCCTGGCATGGTTTTATCCACGCCAGGATCCCATATGGGCACCGGTTCATGTCCCATCCAGCTCCCTGCTAGTGGCCTGGCAAAGCAGTCAAGGACAGCCCAAAGCCTTGGGGCCCTGCACCTGCGTGGGAGACCCGGAAGAGGCTCTTGGCTTCGGATTGGCACAGCTCTGGCCATTGTGGCCACTCGGAATGAATCAATGGCTGGAAAATCTTCCTCTCTGTTTCTCCTCCTCTCTGTATATCTCACTTTACAATAAAAATAATAAAAATAAATGTTAAACAAAAATAGGGGGTTGACATGGTAACATAGTATGCTAAGCCTCTGCCTATAGTGCCAACATCCCATATGAGTGTCAGTTCTAGTCCTAACTGCTCTCTGTTCATGGCCTGGGAAAGCAGTTGAGGATGGCTCAGGTCCTTGGGTCTCTGCATGCACGTGGGAGACCAAAAAGAAGCTCCTGGCTCTTGGTTTCAGATCAGCTCATCTGTGGTTCTTGTGATCATTTAGGGAATAAACCAGCAGATGGAAGAATCCTCTCTATGCCTCTCTCTCTCTCTCTTTCTCTCTCCCCTTCTCTTTCACTCTCTGTAAAATCTGCCTTTTAAATAAAATGAATACATCTTAATAAAATTAGGATCTAGTGCAGTAGCCTATTGGCTGAAGTCCTTACCTTGCATGCCCAGGATCCCATATGGGTGCCATTGCTGCTCCACTTCCCTTCCAGCTCCCTGCTTGTGGCTTGGCAAAGCAGTGCAGCATGGCCCAAAGCCTTGGGACCTTGCACTCATGTGGGAGACCTGGAAGAAGCTTCTGACCACGGCTTTGGATGTTGTGGCCACTTGGGGAGTGAACCAGCAGATGGAAGATCTTTCTGTCTCCTTCTCTCTGTAAATCTGACTTTCCAATAAAAATGAATAAGTCTTTTTTAAAGATTACCTCTTCTTTAAAGATAATGGTTAGTTAATTCGTGTATTATTTTTGGAGACAGATTTTCCATCTGCTGGTTTGCTCCCCGAGTACTGTAGCAGCCAGGGCTGGGCCGGACTGAGGGCAGGGTTCAGAAACAGTGCACACTTGGCAGCAGGGAGCCACATACTGGAGCTGCCTGCGCTGCTGCCCGGGATGCACATTAGCAGGGAGCTGGATCAGAAGTGGAGCTCAGACCTTGAACCTAGCTGCTTCATCTGATGCGGGTGTCCTACACAGTGTCTTAACTGCTGAGGTAGACACCTGTCCCTCAGCGTGGTTTATCAGCCAACTCAAGTCTTATGTGGAAATGGCCTGTGAGGGAAAATCTTTAACTTTTATTTCTTCCTCCTAAGTGGGCTTTTCATTCCAAAACTAGCATATGGCATATGTGACTTTCTTTTTTAGATACTATATCATAAAGTTTGTGTAAAGGAAGTTGTGTGATCCTGTGAGCAGTTCCACGGGTCTAGATATGCTTTTAAATATTTGCTTCCTTTGCAAGGGTGTTGTTGTGGCTCTCAACTAGAAGTTGTCACTTGTCACCTGTAGTTTGTAGGGGGCACAAATGAGGAGCAGCCTGCTTGAGTCCCGGATGAGTCAGGAAGCCTGCTCCTCTGGAGCGAGGGCTCTCTGCCCATCTAGAGCCCTCGCTCTCTGCCCCTCTGGAGCCATATCTCTGTGTGCCCCTCTGGAGCCCTCGCTCTCTCCCCCTCTGGAACCCTCGCTCTCTCCCCCTCTGGAACCCTCGCTCTCTGCCCCTCTGGAACCCTCGCTCTCTGCCCCTCTGGAACCCTCGCTCTCTGCCCCTCTGGAGCCCTCGCTCTGCAAGCCGTGGAAGAGCGGAAGGGAAAATTACCAGGAGTCTGAGTCAGCTTCATGTTTCTTGCCTTCCCTAACGGCTGTCTGCCTTCACGCCTCACTCTGGGGCCATCCTTGTAAGTGGAGCTCTTGTCATAGCCCTGCAAAGGCTGTCCAGACTTGCCTGGTAAAGGAAGCCACTTTTTCCCCCTGCCCCGGGTAAAAGGACTAGCCTGATTAGCTTCCTTGATGTTCAATGTTTGCTCCTTCCCTTCTCCGCCCCGAAGGTTTGAGGCCCAGTGATCAAACTGTTTTTGTTTTGTAGGTCACAGAATGCGGTCTAGTTGCTGAATGACCTCGAGATGCAAACCGCTGCCTTCCACTCGCCTGTTCGAGGCACCAGCCGCCTTAAACGTCCAAACCACCTCTCAGTGTCTCAATCTCTGGTGCAGTATTTTTTCTCTTCACCTTCTTTTACACTTTGATGAAATACGTTCCTTCCTACTCAACCTCAACTGTGCCGACTCCACAAGATGCTCACGCTCTCTCCTGAGCTGCGAGGTGCTATTCCTCTGAGGAGATCTGCAACTGTCACCTCGGAATCTGCAGGCTTTTGAGCCCTGCCACCTCACCTCCTGGAACCAGCTGAGAGCTTGAAATGGCTACAGGATCAATAAGTCTCAATGAGGGCAGACAGTAGGGGCAGATTCCGAGGGAAGAGTTGCCCAGCCTTTTTACAATACACTCTATTTTCAGGATTAACAAATTTCTACCATCTTTTGGAATAAATTATTTTCTGCTTTCTATAGGAACCCGAGTTTGTTGTTTCTAAAGCTCATTTTTGTAAGCATCTGTTTCTCTTATTAAAGATGGAGTTTGCAGTGTTGGCCTAGATACACACTGCCTTGTGGTTTTGAGATGTCAGAAGAGACTGGTGAGTAACTTCTCCGAGCCATTCATCGCTGTTTGAGTGCCTGCGTGGCCAGGGTGCCGGAGCAGGCCCAGGGGCTTCAGTTAGGTTCCTTCCAAATTCAAGAATGATACACTGTGCGGAAAGCTAACGCTGTCCAAATAAAGCCGTGTATGACCATTATACTGAGTGGGTCCAGGGAGGTGGCAGGCCGCAAGGACAACGCGGCTGGTGTGGCCACAGTGCAGCCCTCGTGGGCTCAGAGGCAGACCTGAAGCAGTCTCAGTAACAATCCGGGCTGGCAATGTTGAGTTCATTTAATGGGTCTCACTAATTTGAGCATGTGGGTGAGGGCTTTGTTAGCTTTCAGAAACTAAAAATTGAGCCCAAGCTGACTTTTTACCAGCTCATGGCCCTTTTGGCAGCCAACCAAGAATGGATTTCCTGTTTTGCAGCATGTACTTTTCTATTCCTCCCAAGCGTCTGTACTCATTACTCTGCTATTCTTGAGACCAAAGAGAGTTTCAAATTGAAGAAACTCTCCTGCTGTTCTTTCTTTCCTATTCTTCACTTTCATTTTGAACGTAAAGTTTCTCTTGAGAGCTAGGCAGCCTTGTCATTTACATTCCCAGCAGTCAGGCCTCTAGAGCTCATTTCACGGAGTTCAAAAAACAACGGAAGATGTGAAGTTGAGTGGGGACTGTGGCGATAGAGACGCCCCCATCCCTTTATGGATAAGGAATCTGAGTGCAAGAGAGAATTAACAGGCAGGACCACTTGTTGGCGTTTTCTGATTTCCACTCCAGGGCACTTTTTACTGGCTGCCCTGCCTCTCTCAGTGGGCAGGGCTCAGGTGGATGGGCTGGGTTAGTTCTGGGTCTCTAGTGGGAAGGAAACATTCCACTGTCGGTGGGTGACCAAGTTGGCTCCCGCCAAACAACTTCCTTGATCCTTACTCACTGTTTGTCATCTAAAAAAGACATGTGGGTGGTTTCCAAGGGGGCCTTGAAATATTGCCCGGTCTTTGACCTTGACCTTGTGAGGAAGTGTAACTGCTGTAGGCGTGTACCTTCCCTCTCCAGGTCAAGGCCTTGTGGTAGATCACTCAAGGTCAGGCCGAAACCCTCGCAGCCCGCACCCTGGACAGCTCTCCAGGAGGTCAGACTTCCTGGGGACCTGGGCAGGGCAACACTTCCCCTAGAAAGTGGCTTTCATCTGCCCTAAGTTGAGAGTCCAATACTCGCCAGCAGGGCATCTAGCTAGGTTCAGCAACCCCGACCGAGCTGAGGCAACCTTGCAGCATGGGTGGCCAGCGGGCTGGGGGCCCTTTCCCACTGATAGCCAAGGTTCAGCACATTTCCTGTTTATTGGCACAATTGGAAGCACCACTAGCTTGCGACCCTGGCTAATACCAAGTTTCTTGAGTTGTGCCTTCAGCTGCCACTTGGCCCTGACTCGTCTTTATTTTCTTCACATGCTCTAAGGAGCTTTCGCAAGACTTTGGGAAGCAAAACTGGCTTGCTTGCTCACTGACGGGCTTTCCGGCTTGCCCATCAAGGTAGAGCTCTGTATCTGGAGGGCCCCCGGGAATATGCTGACTGCACTTGCTACCGGGAACCACGGAGGCCCCACAGCTGTGCCAGCTGGGTTTGGATGGTCCCCAGAATGCTGTGCTCGTTCAGCCTTCTAGGAAAGCAAAGGCCCTGGCGGGACAACAGTTCCGGCTTGGGCTTGATGGAGTTCTGTACAGCCCGAGACTTACTGAGGCCCCTGAGACCTCAGCATGAAGCAGGGGCCCACCTCTCTCTGAGACATGGAGAGCATGTCCTAACCAAACTGGAGCGCCAATCTCCTCACAAGCTGCTGACTGCCAAGCACAGGGACTGTGCCACTGCCTCACCGCTTGCCTGTTGAAATGGGAAATGAGCTGTTTCTGTTGGGGAAAGCCTGGTGAGTTCCCTTTGCCTGGGAAATCACTTTGCACCCATGTCCCAGTGTCCTCATTTTGGATATTCTAAATGCCATAAACAGGGACTCAGCCATATGTTCGTGCCTCATCCTTAATAATGGAGCCCTTTTTTTTTATTGGAAAGGCAGATATACAGAGAGGAGGAGAGACAGAGAAGATCTTCCATGTGATGGTTCACTCCCCAAGTGGCCACAATGGCTGGAGCTGAGCCATTTCGAAGCCAGGAGCCCAGAGCCTCTTCTGGATCACCCACATGGAGTCCCACACACAGGTGCAGGGTCCCAAGCCTTTGGGCCATCCCGCCTGCTTTCCAGGCCACAAGCAGGGAGCCAGAAGGGAAGTGAAGCTACCCTGCACCCATATGGGATCCCAGCGTTTTCAAGGCGAGAACTTTAGCCACTAGGCCACTGCACCGGGCCCCCCCCCAACATTTCTTAATGAGTTATTTATTTGAAAGAGTTCATGGAGAGAGGGGAAGAGAGACTTAGAGATTTTTCCACCTGCTGGTTGACTCTCCAAACGGCCTCAAAGCCCAGGCTGAATTAAGTGAAACCAGGAGGCAGGAACTCCATCTGGATCGCCAACTGAGAGTGGCAGGAACCGAAGCACTTTGGGCCATTCTCTGCTGCCTTCCCAGAGCATGAGCAGGGAGCTGGAACAGAAGTGGAGCAGCTGAGATGAGATGCCTGTGTCGCAAGTGGCTCAACTCACTAGGCCACTATGCTGGGGCGCCATCTCTGTTATTTCTGCTACAAGAATTTGTTACCAAGATGAAATGCTGATGGTGATGATTATTTGGAAATTACGGGAATACACAAAGAGTGTTTTCCAAAGAAATGACCAATTCCCTGGGACACACTGGTAGTACTTTCCTGATAAAATAGGACCGAGAAGAATTCCTTGCTGATTCCCTCCCCTGCATACTATCCCCCAGCTTCTCTTTTGCTTAGTTATTTGTACTTAGTTAACTGAGAAAGGCACCTGTAACTGCCCCTGCTTCCCCAGGCCTAAGCTCTGAGCCGCGCAGTCCTCACAGTGCAAGTGGCTGACCACACTCTTCCTGCCCCGCCCCCCAGGTTCTAAGGCTCTTGAACTAGGGTACTGACGGAATCTGGATCCTTGGTCTCTTTTAGCGTCTGTTTGTCTTCTTTCAACATGTCCCAATGTCAGTATCCTTGCCAGTGATCTAACAGCGTTTTCTATCCATCTTTTCTCTGATGTTGCTTCAACAAGTACTACCCATGGGTTCATCTAGCCAATTTTAGCAGCGAACATATCTACCTATGTTGAGGCAAATTAATCATTTTAATTTTATTTATAGGAAAGGCAGAGAGGTTACCCCATTCACCGGTTCCTTCCCCCACAAATACCCACAACAGTCTGGGCTGGACCAGGTTGAATTCGGAGGCTGAAACTTTCACGTGGGCGTCAAGGACGCAAGGACTTGAGCCATGACCTCTCAGTGTATGCCTTAGTAGGAAGCTCACACTGGATGAGGAACCAGGTCTCAAATACAGGCTTTCAGACATAAAATGTTGGCACCCCAAGGGAAGGTTGAACTAAAAGGGCAACTTCCTGGACTTGACGCAAATGTAGGATTGAGAAATTATTTTTAACTGTGGCTCAGGTTTATGCAAAAGTTGGATCTGAATTTTACCTACCAAAATTTTTACGTAGTCCATTGCTCCTTTAAATAAGTTATATTTTTAAGGGCTGGCTATGTGGAATAGCAAGTTAAACTTACATATGCAGTGCCAACATCCCAGCTCCCTGCTTATGGCCTGAGAAACGGCAGATGATGATCCCAATCCTTGGGCCCACTGCACCCACCTGGGAGACCCAGATGAAACTCCTGGCTTTCACTTGGCCCTGCCCAAACTGATATGGCTATTTGAAGAGTGAACTAGCAAACAGATCTCTCTGTAGGTCTTTTCTATTTCTTTGTAACTCTGGCATTCTAATAAGTCAATAGTTAAAATATATGCCTAAATAAAACGCTAGGCATTTCAGAATGGCTTGATCACTCTATTCCTCTATGCAAAAGTTATCTTGTTTGGGAGAACAAATGTGTTCTAAATGGAGATAGAAACACAGCCAAAGTCATGAGCTTCCCTTTCCCCTTCATTTCAGGTTTCTCTCAGAAGTTGTAAGGATAAATTATACAAAGTTCAGTCATTTTCAAAGGCAAATTACAATGTGAGAGCCCTTAGGAAAAAATGTTTATGCCAACACCTGTCATTGGAAGCCGCTTCATTGCCATACTTAAAAAGATGCTTAAGTAAGCCATGCAGCTGCATCCAAATGAAGGAATGTCAAATAACTGGGGGTTCCTCCTCTCCCCACCCCCAAACTATACTTAGAAATCAGAGTGAAGAGCCTTCCTTGGCTGTCTCCAGGTGGTAATTACAAATGATTGCATTTTTTCTTTTGCCTTCTCAGTATTGTTCCTGGTGCAAATGCAGTCACGGAGTTAAGGTTACTTTAGTAACAAAGGATTAGTAGACTATTAAGAGAGAAAAAGCTGGGAGTTTAAACTTCTGGATCTAGCATAAAGCTGGATAATAAGTAGACCAAGATGCTGAAAGTGAGCATGTCTTCTACAGTTTCATAGATTTCCCACAAAGCACACATATCAGAGAAAGAAAAAAAAAAAGGGTGTGTAATTGGGGGACCATTGTTAAGCTGTGCTAGTGCTTCCCTGGACATTACCTGACACACACGTGCTCGGCCCCTGCCCAAGTCAGCCAAGGCCAGGTGAGATAAAGCTGCCCAGAGTTAGCAATGCAGAGACTACTCAATTAGTGAAAATCGGTGAGGTTGCACAGAAATCATAAGGAGCTGTTTGCACTGAGCGCGACAGAGCCCAGATCCCTGGGTTATAGGATCTGAGCCTCTTTTGATCAGGTCCTCAAGGGACAGTGCGAGGAACTGAA